CTATCATATCATCATCAGCAGTAACACATATTCAGCATCGTAATCATCATATCATCATCACCACTTCATCATCAACCTTTCATCCTCATTATCACATCATACACTGATCAACAACAGAGCTGTTTATTATTATTAGTGTTTTGCCTCATCATCATCTATTCACACCTAATCCCCAAACTTTATTCAAAATTATATGTTTTCAATAGTGTAATCCCAAACCAGAAGTGCAAGCATGGATTGGGAGTAGCGAGATACGCCCCACATAACAGCCTTTCCATGTTGCAACTTCTGCTTGTTTGTAACAAAGTGTAATTCACATTAAAAAAAAACATAAAAAAAAGCTTTGTAAATAATTGAGGTGTGAATAGCTGGTGATGATTCTTTGTTATCTGCCCTTGTTGTCAAAGATTACAGAGAGCATAGTACAGCCAGACTAAATGATAGCATAGAGGAAATATCAATAATTAACATTATACATAGATTGCTCTCTCTCACTGAATCATTCTCTACAATTACAGAAACAGACAAAGCGATGAAAACAGAAATAGGAAGATAGGGGATGGGGAGGGGGGAATGACATAAGAAGTCCATGGGATGTTGAAACAAATTTTTTGCTAAAGACAGTGAAACAAAGATATGACAGCACTGTCAAGGATAAAAAGTATCATAATTATTTAAATATTCAATTGGATAAGATTTTCCCATTTTTTCCAATTATTTGTGAAATTTTGTTTGTATGACGTGTTTTTGCTATTTGAAATATATTTTTGAACAGAATAGTGATTTTGTATAATCTTTACAATAGCGTTGATATTGAGAGTAGCATGGAGGCATCTTGTTTTATATATATAATGTTTAATCATAAGAATTACTTCATTGTCAACTCTAAAGCTAGGGCTATTGTTCCTTTTAATTCCAAGTATAAAAGACCGTTTGTTGACTGAGAATGGTATTAATAAAGAATCTGTTAGTGTTTCAAATGATTGTTAAAAGTTTTGCACTTCCTGACATTCCCAAAGGAGATGAGTGATCGATTCTCTTTCTGAGTTGCATAGATTACAAAGTGGACTGGACACAAGTTTTGCCTTAAAAAGCCTGAAAAAACAAAATTTAGAAATGCATGATATTTGTGACCTTTGACCCAACAGCGAGCTTTTTTATTTGACATATTTTGTATTAGCATGTAACGGACAAAAGCTAGATATGCAAAGTATCAACATATAATATAATTTCACGAACTCTGTACAATCAACGACTTTCGATATATGGCTGTTAGTTTAAACGTATGATGTCATGGCAGCCATATTAGATTGTTGTCGTACTAAAAAGAAGAGGCAATGGCACCTTCAGATACAAAACTACAATATACTGAATATACTATAAACGTATATCTTAACAAAACAACATTGGAGTCCACATATTTCAAAATAATGATGCATCCCTAACCTATGGTATTTACACGTCGCAGTTGGCTTGATATTCAAACGACTCTGATTTTTATCATTATTTTCCTGCATGAAGTCGTAAAATGACAGATTCGTAACACAGGGTTTTAAATGATGCAGGTTGATGAAAAATGAAAACATGGTATTAATTGCTTGGATTAGCCAAGATTTACAGGCAGATATCGTCGATGAAGCAGAAAATGCTGATATCGGAACCTGTCTTGTTTTTGAGTCAGAAGAAATTTATCGACCACGTCCATTATACATACCCACCAGAATCGAAAATCAAAGACACGACAGACTTTTCTACATCAGCTGCTTATCTCGATCTTTTCCTACAACAAAACCAACATGGGCAGCTTTACACCAAGCTTTATGATACGCGTGATGATTTATATTTCCCTATTACGAGTTTTCTATTTCTTGATAGCATTATTCTTGTATCTCAAACGTATGGTATGTACATGTCACAGTAGATTCGATATTCAAGGGCCTATTCCCATTATCAAGATTTGAGTGCAAGAAGTTGTCAACAGACGGTCAAACTCGTAAGACAAGGGTTCAAAGATACAGATTGATGAAAATTATGGGGACGTTTTATGGTCGCCATGGTGATCTCATTGAGTAATGTTCTATTTCTTTGTGCGATATGAAGCTGGACGTATCTGATACTCGTTAGTTTGCCTGTTGGTTCCGTTGTTTTATACCTTGTTCTCATTTGAGAACGTGACATTACTTACTTGGAATGATCAAAGTTAACATGACGGGTGTTGTCGTTGAAGCAGATGACGCTTACTCTTCCGGAACACCTTATCTTATTCTCCTTGTACTTTTTAAGTAATCTCCGTGTAAACCTTTCTTTTGTTCGTATTTTACCACAGTTTTATTTAATTTGAGTTTGGATTATGATTGTGTTGTCATAAAGGTATTTGCAGGTGTTCCTTCATTTACAGACACCACAAGTGAAGTGAAAATGTCTAGACATTCATATGACTGAGTTTGAACGTATAGGTCATCATGACAACTAAATCACATCTAGAATAAACACGTTAAAAAGCAATTTTATAGTTCTAACTAATTTAGTTGTGATATCTGAAAATAAATATTCAATAAGGCGTGTAATTTAGACACTTCTCCAATACACCAGAACTTACACAATGTGTATAAGTAACTTTTCATGCAACGCTTCATGAGATAAATTGTTTTTACACACAACATTAACTTTTTCTCATTTTCTTTTTTAAATTTAGGTTGCTTTTAAAATACGAAAAGAAATAATTTTGCTGTGAAATTCTAACAATTTTTTTTTTTACAGTTAGCTATTATATTCTGGTGGTTGACTAAACTGTTAATTCTGTTATACAAAAATTTTCTTATGTAATGAAATTTGGGCAGACCAAAATGTAATTTCCTAATTTCAACAACATCAAATACATGTATTTGAAAAACGAGCTAGTAACCATGGCAACAACCATGAATCAGTACATTTCTGGCAAAAACATATCCTTAGGTGCCTACTCCACTAGTTCACAATATTATGAATTTTGGATGTATACCTTTATTCACTTCCATCGTCGGAACAATTTCTGATGATAAATACTTGCTATTTTTTCAAATGTTTAAAACACTTGTTGCTATGGTAACGTCATTGTTCGTAAACATGATTTTTCGTCAAAAGATTTGGAAAGCTAGTATTCCCATGTTTCTAAATAAATGGAGGTTGCTAACCAAAAAGTTGACTGGAAAAAGGTGAAAATTCATGTTGAAGCAAAATGACAGATTTTCCTTAGTGTCATTTAAAAATTCCTGAGAATTAAGGGGTTAATGTATGATCGAATACGTGTAAGATATAATGTTCGAGCACTTTTGCTATATCTATTTATTATTTGATTAATTGCTGGCTTATTTGTACTGCAGACGGGCAACATTTCCTACTTATCTACTGATTACAGTTACTACAATAACATAGATATATATTCACAGTTTATATGTTTGTTTTGTGCTAAAATATGTGCTAGGTTAATTTCTGTATTTTTCCAGGTTGGGGCGCAAGCTAGGTGCAACCAAGAACCCCTTGTTTTTGGGCTGCGTGTGGAGTACAGGTTTGTGTTTCTTTGGACTCACTCGACATCACAGGTTTGCCTGTGTCAATTTTATAATTGTTGTATCTTACATCCAAAATACGCTATTTATCCTCAGAAGGCATGCACACATAACGTTTTTTGGAGAAAGGTTCCACTACAGCAAATGTCTGCCTATCTTTCCGGATTGCTGTATTCTTTGTCAAGTACGCTGCACAATCGATTGCTAATCTAGACCATTTTCGAAATGCGATGATGCTTAGGTTATTTCCTTATTTGTGATTTAGTTTTGTTTAGAGAGTTTTTAACTAATTGATGTCTTCGATATACAATGTCAAGGGTTGACAGAGGAAGATCAAATTTTGAACAAAATTAAATGTCAATACCTATCTGCGTTACTCCATGGGTTACGATCATTTTCGAAGAGAACGATAGTAAGCGTAAACCCTGGAGTATACAGGACGGTCAAAACCCAAATGGAGAGTTGCACTAACTCCAAATCTCAATCAGTTTCATATTTTTTCAATACTGAATGGTTTTATAGGAACGTCAAGTACATGTATGTATTCGTATTAGACATACATGTACTAACAACTATTCATATTTTTCACCACGAATCGCTACACTAAGTATTGCGTAATGTCTTATAACACTTAAAGTATATTTTGGTTTAACCTTGTGTCCCAAAACTGAAAATCCAGGTAACAAAATCTTGGGAGAAACAGGATCGGTTTATATAAGAAGGTAATTACAAAGAAAACACAGAGATAATTATGAACTTAAATAATCTATTAGAAATCCAGGTAAATACATGTAATGCAGGTGAATGTGTCGAGGAATACAAATATAAAAGTTAAATTAGATAATATTAGATTTTATATTCTCAAAACCAATAATCTCTCAACTACTTTGCATAAAACTCTGTACTTTTTTCTAGTGTGTGATACATAAATATAGGTATTTAAGTAATATCACTACAACTATAGAATTTAATTTGGATATATTAGATTTCAATTTTTTCAATCACAATTTTAACACATTCCCGATACAATCCATGACCTACACTATGTCTTCATTACAAAGAAAGTATTTCGAACTTCTCGTCCGCAAGCACTATTAACGTAGATCTAGTACATAATTCCATGTACGATACAAAGTGACTCGATAGACAAGAACATACACATAATTACATGAAATATAATTAAACTACAAGAACATGCTATTCCATAAATGTTTTACATAGATATTTCAAAAGTAATACTTATTAAAATACAAATCGCAACATGTCAACAAGTTAAGGGATACTCAATGTTCATTTTAATAAATTTTGATGTCTTTTCCCAACAGCACTAATTTATTCTATGTGGAGTTAAAAGGTTGCCTTGTCGCCATAATTGTTGTGGTCAATCTCATTGTTTCGGAGCTGAGTTGAATCAAGCATCCATTCAATGCGTCCTTCTGCAGCAAGCTGAATTCATGTGACGTCATTTGTAGTCTGAATTTCCATCATTACTCGAATGAAGATGAAAATGTTAGGATGAACGTGGGGGATTCTCTTCTTGAGTTTGCTGTTCCACCCTTCTAAGATGTTGGTTGTTCTAGGTCCGTCATTGTCGAAGTGGCTCCAAACCGGTCTGACGCCTTCCATCCATTTGGTGTTTACACAGTTGATGAACGCTGTGGTGTCCACAGGTAGGTCGACGTCCTTCAGGTCATCTAGTGCATTGAACCAGTAGTATTCTACATGATGCTGAGGAAAGAGACGGAGTACAGCAGTACAGCGAATTAATCTATAGATATCTTCGTCCTGTCTGTAGTAGGTCCGGAGTCCTAGTTGTCGAGTCTTTCTCCAAATGCACCGTGTGAAGTCAAAGAAGCAACCTTTGACGGTAACTCCGGGGAAGACGGCTTTGGCGGGATTATGAGCAGCAAACTCGAAGTCTAGAAAAACTGTAGTCGGGTTGAGTAGTAGCTGTTGCTCCTCTATCATGGAGTTTAGATTCTCCAGGAGTCTGGTGTAGATCACTTCTGATTTCCCTTGTAGAAGAGCGAATACAAGCGGGTACATCTGGTTGTTGGTCATGGCATGAATCTTGTGCAGTTGCTTGAACATTTTAAGGCATGTGTAGAACGTCGCGTCACAGCATAGTGTATCAGCTGCTGCTGAGGGTCTGAGGTTGCTGGTGGTGGCGAAGGCTAGGATGCGGAGGTTATGTCTGTTGTAATCAAATAGGAGGGACTGTCGCCGTTGTTGGTTTGGTGCCATTCATATTCCAAGACGAGATATGTTAAAGATGTTGTTAGATTTAAGCTGGCTTCAGGAGTGGTAGAGAAATGTCTTGCAGGATGATAGCTTTGAAGTTGCCTCTCAGCTGCCTGACAATGTGTCTGTACTTTGGCGACTTCTTCATCGCAGATGGCCAGTATGGAGTAGAGTTCCTCTACACCCCTTCTGTATGGTGTTCATGATCTCCTGAACTTTTCCCTGCCTTTCAAAGGAATGTCGTAGGTAGTGTTGATGGTTGCAGGACAGTTTCGAACACAGCATCGTCATTAGGTTGTCTCGGTAGATGTTCTTTACCATGTACTGGGAACCAGCATGGAACACTCCGCCACGTCTTTTGAAATTAGCAATTAAATTAGCTTGGGTATTCACCTCACAAACTTATCATTACTAGGGTGACTAGATTTTACCTCTGCAGTAATTAAATTACCTAGTGTATTTACCTCACAAACTTCTAATAACTCGGTAACTAGATTTTACTTCTGTGGCAATCTCACAAACTTATAATTACTTGGTGACTAGTTTTTGTTTTGTTTTGGGACAATCCCTTTGTTACTTGTGACAAGCCACTCCACAACAGACAGATCAGAATTCCGCAAATCTAATACATCCTTATGTAATAAGGTTCGCTATTTCATTTTAAATTGAATTTTGACAGATCCATGCATAGGTTGGTTATTTCGTTAGCCAAAGGAATGTCGTCTTCCTCCAACTCCTACCACATACACTCGGCTTATCCGATTTATTTTTCGCTATTATCATGTATGCAAATACAACATCTACCTCCATCGCTATCACCTTGCCTGCATGAAAACTTCCACAAGACAGTCTTGTATTGACAAAGTATTTTGATGACGTAAATAATACATCCATTGATTAAGTGACTACAGGAAAACTTGAAGGACTGATTGTACTTTATGATATCAACATATGTATTTGATTACCAAAACCAGGACTCGTCTTTTTCACTCATTTTGAACATTGTTTGGTCGTGTTACAAGGTCGTGTCCTTGGACAGCGGATAGCATTACATATGCCCCACCCTCGTATGATTGACTGTTGAAGGCATGTCTCGTTTGCTCTGGTGTAGCTCCAAACTGTGTCTATCCAGCGTGTCTGACATTACTAGCGTAGCGGACGATCAGTGCACAACGATGGAAGTTAGTGTTTACTTCATAGTCTCATATTTGATATTTTTCTCCAATCCAGGTAAGTGAAATGTATTCATTATTGTAATTAAGATCATATAACGTATCTGTACATGAAATATTGATCGTTTGCAATACTTAACCCTGCTCAAGGAACACCCTATCTGTAACAATCCCAGCGAGAGATAATAGGCGATGTAACTTGGATATAGACTATAAATCAACATTGAATGTGTGAATCAGAAAAATTAAATGTAACATGGATACATAGTGTTCTGTAATTGTGTCGTGTAATTTCGGTTGCCATTTTAATCCATAAATGTATATATGTAGTCAGACAGTAGCAAGAGAATACGAGAATAGCAGTAAGAGCAGATGCGCCAGATGCATGAAGACGCACCACATAAATTAATACAGAAAATCTAGTCAATTGATATCCCTAGACATTGACGTGCACATATACCGCTGTCATTTCAAGCTCTATGACTTTTAATTACAATTGCTTGACGGATTAAAGATAACATAGATATTATATGTCGGTGGTATCTAGTATTACAGTACATTCTTTATGTATGGAGCTACTTTTACATGTCCTATATGAGGTGTGGTATGTGTAAAGTATACATAACATGTTATAATGACGAACATTGACATACGGCAATTCATGTAAATAAGATACGGTCATTATCATTGTTCCTAACATCTGTTAAAAATCCATATCGTTTTAAGTCAAATGTCAAAATATTGATTTCTTTATTCCGAGATTTACGTACTTTGCCCAAGTTTGATTGATTCTTGCATTCTTTGTGTTCATTTGTTATCCGATTGGGTCTTCTTTGCTTAAATCTCTTATCAATATGAACAAACCATATAAAAATTGTCACGAAAATCTCTGCCGATCTCTCAATGAATGTGAAAATAACACCCTTTAATACAAGTTTAAAATTAGATACAAATAATTAAACTGCGTCATACAGCTGTTTCGTCCTTCTGGCTCGTCAATGATGCAAGGGCATTAATTTTGAAACCTGTGAGGTGTACTGAGGAATTATTAAAATGGTGCTTTTATGCATTGACAATTACATGTTTTACAATATGTGTCACCAATCGCTCAATGCAAACATGTTTTGCAACATCTGTCGCATATCGTTCAATGGAAACGTGTTCTACAACATTTGTCGCAAATCTAATAATGAAAACAGGATCTACAATATTTATCTCCAATTTCTCAAAGTAAACATAACATTTGTCGCCAATATATCAATGTAAATATACTTTACATCTGTCGCCAATCTCTCAACAAAAACATACTTTACGACATTTGTCGCCAATCTCCTAATGTAAACATGTTTAAAAACATTTGTCGCCAGTCTCTCAATGTAAGCATGCTTTATATTTGTCGGAAGTCTCTCAATGTAAACATGCTTTACATTTGTCGCCAATATATCAATGTAAACATACTTTACGACATTTGTCGCTAATCTCTCAATAAAAACATACTTTACGACATTTGTCGCCAATCTCCTAATGTAAACATACCTTACAACATTTGTCGCCAATCTCTCAATGTAAACATGTTTAAAAACATTTGTCGCCAGTCTCTCACTGTAAACATGCTTTATATTTGTCGGAAGTCTCTCAATGTAAACATGCTTTATATTTGTCGGAAGTCTCTCAATGTAAACATGCTTTATATTTGTCGGAAGTCTCTCAATGTAAACATGCTTTATATTTGTCGCCGGTCTCTCAATGTAAACGTGTTTAAAAACATTTGTCGCTAGTCTCTCAATGTAAACGTGTTTTACAACATTTATCGCACATACTTTACATTTGTCGCCAGTCTCTCGATATAAACATGCTTTATATTTGTCGCAAGACTCGCAATGTAAACATAACATTCCCTCAATATGGTATGGTTTGGTTAAAGAAATTACACAAGAAGGTAATAATGCGCAATTAGAATGGGCAATATGTAATGACGAAGCAGAATCAATTGTAAAGCTGTTCATTGTTCTGTGGTAAGCTAAAACTATGTTCAGTTTACACCATTATATCTACAGTCAGACATGTACAGTATTAATCTTCTTGAATGAGACACGCAACTATATGAAATTCTCCATTGCTTGTTATACATATCATTGTGTTTCTTGTGCACCGCTACTGGCGCGATGAGATCATGATCACTGTTCTTTTATGAACTTAAGCAATGAACTCTACATGACACCCGTAAAGTATCAAATGGAACGGAAACAAACCGTATCGAGTTTATAATGGGTATTGTTGAGTGGAAGTGTACCTTATCGGACCCCTTACCGGTGACAGTGAAATAAAAAATAGTTAAAGAAGGAGAGACATGATAGTGGAGGTCCAGACATGTATCTAACAAGGTCAAGGTCACAGTGTGGTCCAGCTCGTGCTGTATTTAACTCTTGACAAACAACTTTCAGCAGAATATTCATTCGCCCTTGTCTAGAATTCGGAAGACGGTAATCAGACTAATTTTCTATTATCACAGTCTGTGATTTTGGTGAGACGCGTTTGTGTCACACCAAAATGTTTTTTTAATGAATTAGTTACCTTAGTATTTTCTTGGTATCACTTAATTTACGGTTTATTAGGAATAGTTCTACTTTCATGCTGGTATCAAAGAAAACCCAATTTGCAAACCGAATGAAGCGCTTAGGCATACCAGCACGGAAATATTTCCGTCAAAGCTTACAATTAATTTCTGACACACGTTTCATAGGAAAAACAACACATAAAAACACCACTTTAATAATTCAAAGGATTTTTCAAACAAATCAATATGCATAAGAGTTCACGTGACTTAACGTCATTGACATCTAATTCGCTTTCAGGCATTAAAAAGTCATCCTCAGTGTAACTTGTATATTCCACACGTTCGTATAAAAGAAACGAGACGTTTCAAGAACCATTAAGTACACGTCGTTTTCTACTTTTCACCACCGTTATCTCATGTAACTGGGGTCTTTCATGTTAAGATAACAGTCCTCCTCCCAAAATAAATAAATAGATAAATATTAATAAAAGCAAAATACTTTCTATATATACATTATATTAAGTATTTACTGGGAAATCCCGCGTTTCGGTAATGATCGTTTTGGTAATGACATTTTATCAATAAATCTCCTTTTGGAGCCTGATACAAGTATAGCTGTGAAATTTACTTTTGTTCTCACGCTGCTGGTTGTATCAGCTGTACACATTAATCATTATATTGATTGTTCGGTAATGACCGAAAATAACATTTTTTAATAATTTTGTTCTTACAAACAAGTCCTTCTTCACAAACGAACCGATTCCGCACAGACATGTGTGTAGGTTGAAATCTTCCCGCGATAAACTTCAAGCCGAGCACAATAACTCCGCGCTATTGGTTATAACTCCTGCTGTATTTTCAATTTTGAATACTTTATTTTAATTACCTTTTGAAATTTTATACATCTGTTGAAAAATAGTGTAATACGGTCATTGGTACACAGAAAACGATTTAGTTACAAGTTGTTTTTAACTAGAATCATATTTTTTTTCCAGGATTTGCCACTACCGAAGTATACGCTAAAGGCGGTATAATTCGAGCGGTCGGAGATATCAACATATTCCCTACGTCGGCACAGTCTGAGTACGAGAAATCATATTGTAAGTATCATCGTCTTCACAGTCTGAGTACGGACGAGCATACTGTATGTATCAATGTCTTTTCAGTCTGAGTACGGACGATCTTACTGTATGTATCAGAGTCTTCACAATCTGAGTACAGACGATCATACTGTATGTATCAATGTCTTCACAATCTGAGTACGGACGATCATACTGTATGTATCAACGTCTTCACAATCTGAGTACAGACGATCATACTGTATGTATCAATGTCAACACAATTTGAGTACGGACGATCATACTGTACGTATCAACGTCTTCACAATCTGAGTACGGACGATTATACTGTACGTATCAACGTCTTCACAATCTGAGTACAGATGATTATACTGTATGTATCAATGTCAACACAATTTGAGTACGGACGATCATACTGTACGTATCAACGTCTTCACAATCTGAGTACGGACGATCATATTGAATGTATCAACGTCTTCACAATCTGAGTACAGCCGATTATATTGTATGTATCAACGTCTTCACAATCTGAGTACGGACGATCAAACTTTATGTATAAGCGTCTTCACTGTTTGAATACGAGAAATCATATTGTATGTATCAACGTCTTCACAATCTGAGTACGGACGATAAAATTGTACGTATCAACGTCTTTACAATCTGAGAACGGACGATCAAATTGTACGTATCAGCGTCTTCACAATCTGAGAACAGAAGATCATACAACAGGTGGCCATCTTGGATTTCGACTTCAAAAGTTTTTCACCACTATTTCTTTAGAAGAACTGTATATTTTTTCTTAACTTTCATGTATAACTTCCTCTTGGCCCCTAGTTGTGTTGTTTAATGTCAACACAATTTGCCATGAATTACCTAGACGACTGTTATTCATTTCTTAACGTACTCAACGATCTTCACATATGCAGGTTTCCTTTGATTTGATACGGACGATTTTTGGATATTGAATGTATGTTCAAATGTCTTCACAAAACAGAGAAGAGAAGAGAAAAGAAGGGAAAAGATCTGAGAAAATACGGGCGATCATATTGCATGTATCAAAGTTTTTTCACAATCTTGAACTGTACATGACGATTATATTGTATGTATCAACGTCTTCACAATCTGAGTACGTGTTTTGTACGATCAAACTTTATGTATAAGCGTCTTCACTGTTTGAATACGACAAATCATATTGTAAGTATTTCAACGTCTTCACAATCTGAAAATACATTTGGACGATAAAATTGTACGTATCAACGTCTTTACAATCTGAGAACGGACGATCAAATTGTACGTATCAGCGTCTTCACAATCTTTGAGAACAGAAGATCATACAACAGGTGTTTGGATTTCGACTTCAAAAGTTTTTCACCACTATTTCTTTAGAAGAACTGTATATTTTTTCTTAACTTTCATGTATAACTTCCTCTTGGCCCCTAGTTGTGTTGTTTAGGAAATTTACCAGAAAAACACAATGGTCGACAGGCTGCCATCTTGGAATTATCCTAGAAAAGACTGTTATTCCTATTTCTTAAGAAGTACTGAATAGATATCTCTCAAATTCCATATGCAGGTTTCCTTTGGTCTCTCCTTGTTCTCATTTGATTTTGAAACTGATCAGAAGAAACAAAATGGCTTCCATTTTTGGATTTCGCAATTTCTGCAAAGTAATGTTCAAATGTCTCATCATTAAAAGCATAAACAGAGAAGAGAAGAGAAAAGACGGGAAAAGATCCAACTTTCAAAGAGAAAATAAAGACCAAACAATGGCGGGGCGCCAAGATCCCTCTTTTCTCATTAAACTGCATTTCTTGATGTAAGTTTTTACAATAGCTAACTGTTGAACTGTTGGTATATGCTTATACTTACTTATAAAAATGTGATCAAGTTCCCTCGCCGTACACAAAACGTTTGTTCATTTTACAGATATCTTTCAGTTACCAATGTGTTTTGTAGGAATTTCTGGGTTAATAGCTACATCTATATTGAAATCAGTGTGGTCTGAAATTCAAAAGTTGTCTCATAGACTTTCAGACGGGTTGGGTGTAACTATAGGATGGTGTGGGTATACCTATAAGACAATTATTGTAACTATAAGACGATTTGGGGGTAACTATAAGACGATTTGTGTGTAACTAAAAGACGGGTTGGAAGAAACTATAAGACGATTTGGGTGATACTATAAGACGGTTTGGTGTAACTATAAGACGATTTGGGTAAAACTTTCAGACGGGTTGGGTGTAACTATAAGACGATTTGGGTAAAACTTTCAGACGGGTTGGGTGTAACTATAAGACGATTTGGGTGTAACTTTCAGACGGGTTGGGTGTAACTATAGGATGGTTTGGGTGTACCTATAAGACGATTTGGGTGTAACTATAAGACGATTTGGGTGTAACTATAGGATGGTTTGGGTGTACCTATAAGACAATTTGGGTGTAACTATAAGACGATTTGGGGGTAACTATAAGACGATTTGTGTGTAACTAAAAGACGGGTTGGAAGAAACTATAAGACGATTTGGGTGTAACTATAAGACGATTTGGGTCTGGCACTGCTGCAGCATCTTCGGATATCTTTCCTACTGCAGCCGTAGCCTCATTGAAGATGGTTATTATTGCGATGGAACAATTTGTACAATGATGGGAGTCAGCGAGTGTGGCAACGTCGGGAGGAACGTTTCGCAGACTGCTGCGTAGCCCAGCGTGACAGATTTGGTGGGGTAGTGTAATGATCTGGTGGGGCATAACGGATTGAAATCGAACCAGATTAGTCATTGCTATTGGCAGTTATCTTAGCAACCGTAAGCTTTTTGTTTTTACAGCGTCAAGGAGCTGGGTCAATTTTATAACATGATAATGCAACATTCCTTAACAGTCACATGGCAGAGGAGTTCTTATAATAGAATAATCCCAGTCACATGACATGGGCGTTCTTACAGCAGAATAATCAACATGTTTCGGACTGGCCTACAAAATTCGCTGATCTGAAAACAATGGAGCACATCCGGGATGCTACTAAAGACAATTACGGCGTCGACAAAAACCACCGGCGCCGGCGTTTTAATGCTGTGGTCCCAGCCAATGGCGGTCAAAAAAGTTACTAACACCGTTTCTAGAGATCGATACATGACCACAACGTCTTGTTAATGACACAAAATCATCGAACCATAACGAATTGTGAGTCGGCATTTAACCACCTTCCAAACCTGATTTATAAAATGTAAAAATGTTGATTTAATATAATGTCACAGTGTATTTTCAACATTGCGCTCTTCTCTTACTACTTCAATGCTTGATACTTCCACATCCAGGAGAGCTTTCATGGTTACAGTAGATGATCAATGATAATGATTCAGAATAACCATGTATATTTGACTTTGATGTTGCTGCAGCTCCCCGTCTGTGTTTTAACATTTAACATTTAACATCGGCCCTTTTCGTTTTCTTTCGTCGCCAACTGAAATTCAACACAATGAGCGGCGCCATCGCTGGCGGGTTCTGTATAGGGAGGCCATATTAATTCATTCGGGTAGTGACACGGTTCAGAATATACATATGTACTTGATGCTGTTCTCAAATTGTGTTATATATGAAAATTATGACGTTTATTTAATTACAGGGCTGCCGCATTTCCCCGACTTTTCTTTCGGTCATTTTAGGTTTTCCTCTGTCGCCCCCTAGGCTTCAAACTTCAGGCCCTTAGCATCACTGACGAGTCCTAGAAGAACGAAACAGTCGTGTGAAGTTTAGTTCATTATTTGGCTCTACTATATCTAACTCTAAATTATTTAAAGATGTTTTAAACCGTGTGTCTTTTGTACTATCTCTGACACTTATGTAACGTTTGTACAATTATTTTCAGAGAATGCAGAACATATTCACTGTATAACAAAAAGGAGCTGTTTGAATTCCTGTGAGCCATACTTTCTAAAGGACATGCGATACTCTTAGCCTTGGTAGTCATCAGATTGGGAGGTGTTAAGTTTTGCTAGTAAAACTTACAGTCTGTGCAGTGTAACAGCATCGCTTGATGGATAGTAAATGAAACGGTCTTACAATAAACACCCAATCTTTTAAAGTGATTATTCAACATCAGTTATGACAATAAGGAAATAAACGCCGCCCCTATTCATTGTTCGTAATGCGTTTCACATAATTTATTAAAGTTTCTTACTTTTTATCCACTTATTGCGTTCCACAATTCAACCCCTTGATCACTTGTGAAGCACAGAAGAGCGAAACCTCGGCAACTTTATCTATTTTAAGCTGCGCTGTATATATAAGTTAATCCACCGTCAATCTTAATTTCCTTTTTGCCTCGTAAGCTATGGATCAACATACGAGTAACAACTGAATTGTAAATCGAAGAATGGACTCCATAAAGGATGGCACAAAAGACACGCAAGTGAAATTAACACCTTAGAATTCGATACTAAAACACCAATTGCAGTTGTACTGGCCTTTTCACCATACTTTACGAATGTTCATTTATATTACCTAGGTTTTGTTACCGTATACTCTGTGACATCTAAGTATATTCTCTTTTTTACCGAGGATCTTTTCTTTCGTTTCTTTCGTTAACAAACTTCTTATCTCTAATGTAGTGCTTTATCGCGACAGGTCGTCGAATTTTGTAAACGAATCTTTATTCTCTTGTTTCATGTGTTTAAGAGACATAAGGAAAATTGATAGAAACCACTGGACATGCGACTCGATCACCGTGTAGGCATGTTATACAGGCAGTAGTGTTTTCAATCTAAACCATGAGAAATCCTTGACACAGACTAGAAAACGTTATTACTAATTAATCTGATAGTTTTTTCTGACAATTTCGTTCTTTTCAGTCTCTTCCTTTTTATCATTTTCAGGGCAGGGATCCACTATGGTACCAACGAACTACACAGGCATTGTTACAAGTTATGTAACAGACAAGGCCATTGTGCCGTCTCCTAGTCGTTCACCTGAGAAGTTCGTGTCTTCTTCAGACTGTGACGAAACAAGAGCGAATGCTGTGGCGTGTCTGAAGATATTTCCAGTCACTCCAGAGTCACGTTATGAGAGGATGTATTGTATGTCCAGCACTGATATCAGAAAAAAGACGAACAATAAACATAAGTGTAATTGCGAGACCTGTAAACCTAACGTTCATTGCTGGATGTCATGTCAGACACTGGCCAAGTTCGGCGAGGCTCCGGAATCGGACTGTTTCTGTACTCCTCTGACAGGAGGTGATGGGGATGGTCCCATCCCTGCATGGTGTGTAAGTCCACAAGGACAGATAGAGTTCTTCACTGAATGTCACAGCCCCTCGTTTCATTATTCCTGTGAATTGTATAAGAATTTCTTTGAAAATTCTTTCAGCCTCACACGTGACCATTACAAGATTTGGAAGTCGTTTTCATGCAAAGGTAAAACCGTTGAAAAATCACTCATATCGTGTCTCAGTAATACCCTTGTAACAGTTGTGAGAAAAAGATCTGTGGCTTGTGATGTTCCTTACAACGGCATCACTTCCTGCTTGGAATCTTTCCGCAAAAAACTGGGTTTGTCCTCCCAACAATTATGTCAAGAAGCGATACAAATCTGGGACCAAATGCCCTCAAATTACTTTCAGTTATCTAATGCTGACTTCGAGAATGTCTTTTCCACGACGCGATCAAAAGTTAATGAATGTTTGCGGGTTTTAACATAAGAGTGCGTTCAACATCAATGTCATTGTCAGCGTTCCATGAAGTCATATTTGTGTACCTTCAGGTAGCTTTGTAAATGCAATAATTATCAGTTCCATGTAGAGGGAAGCCTTACTTGTGCTTACATTACTGAGATTGTCCATAAGCCTATATGTACATGAGACATATACAACTGATATTTTGAAAAATATCCATTATTGAATCTTTGCGACAAATAGTGAGTAATGCACTTCCCATCTTTTAATTTATCTGTTTTTTTTTACTTGTTATTAATTATTTCCCTATCGTGACTAACGTGTGCTAGAAGGCGAGATCCATTGTGTACTCTCATTATTGACATAAACACTCTCTTACTTTTGATTTGTACGGTGACATGAAGAATATGATTTATGCATTTTACGTTAATGGGAATGATTCTGAATATCTTAACATCTGCAGAGAAGCACCAATGACAGCAGGCAACTAAAATAGGCCCTAAATATTTATGTAGTGCCCGCAATTATATTGAGACGAATCTAATTAAAACGGTGTTAATTTAAATTTGTTATGGCAACTGTAACGGTCTGCTTAAGTTTCTCGCCTCTCAACCCGTGTTACTACTTCTTATTCCAAACATATTATTTCGCAATACGTTAGAGTCGAACGTTTTGTACAATTAAGAAATACCTACAGGAATTGAATTCTTCTCTGTAATATAGCTAATTTAGACATGAAAATTGAAGTGATGAATGTTTTCTTTTTCTTTACATCGCTCATTTTATTATGGGAAACCATAGTGTTTCACAATAATGTTCTTCTTATACTTTTTCAGGAGTTTCTACGTAAATGTTTCTTTCGATCATTTTTTTATCGTTCATTTCGCCCTAGTTTTATTAAATTTCTGTATGGATTATGTCCACATGTTGAACTTGTTTAGAGGTAACCTTATCTGTATTGCTAATACAATGAAATACTATTTACTATATTTATTTACTTTTTTGTTTCACTGGACATTAATAAATGCATATTCGATACCAAAAGTGTGCTCATATGGCACAAATCAGAGTTAGTGAGTCAGGATTCCATTTGTAAACATTGGATGTTCTAGATAGACTTTAAACTTGATATCGTTGCAACCTGATAGTAAAAAAAATTAATAGTGACAAGTGGTGATTTGCATAGGTTTCTTATTCATTATATAAGTGTTGAATAAAGAATTTTTCGTCTAGTTGTTTAATCCGGGTTACCGTAACGATGGGTGTATCACTATGTGACATATGGTACCAAACGCGAAAGGAGATTTTGCAAGCAGTACGACAATGGTTATTTTTACGAATAAAAAACAAACACAAAAACACAAAAAAGACAAAAATGTTAATAAACAATAACCAATTAGGTTAACATTTTCATACTGAAATTGATGGTACCTAACTTATGGCTGAGTGTTTATAAACATCGTACAGAAACTGCACGCATTTTTTTTCAACCCGAAAACTGAAATACGATTACGGCTAAAAATTCACATTGGCCCATTGAGAGGAATCTCACATATGACTCCGTGATTGCTATCACATAGTTCGTCCCACCACCCAAAGGGGCCTTTCAATAAAAACACGGTGGTCACACAGTGCTGGCTGTTAGGTAACTCTGGCTTAGCAGGGGAACGAGAACAGTCTGTCTTGCACCAATCAGTGTATTGGGCTTCCTCATTATCAGAAATCCATCTGTAGTTGTTGTTTGAGGTGTCATATCGTAATCCAATCCATCAAGGGGCGCCATCTGAAATATTAATTTTTAGGTATGTAGAGATTCAAAAGAGTGTGTAAAATGTTACAGCTGAATACGTTTCGGGGAAATACCGTAAACTTACAATTTCTTAACAAAGAGGATTCATTTTGTAATAAAAAAAGACAATTGCTGCGATTACAGTGAGGTTTTGTAACAATATGGTAAGTGTTCAAAAATATACAAACATTTCGTATACGTTTACAATACATCCATAAACATGCAAATAAGAAACTCATCCTAGCCTGTAATAAAAAAGGAAATATTTGCTTGAGTAATGCAGAATGGATTTATCGACAACATGAACTAAATTCACACCAAGTATGAATACCTTGACTGTTTAAGCTTATATCGAATTACATGACCGAATTAAGGAAAGCCGGATTGTTTACAACTAAACGAAGGCATTGGATTTAACCGATTTCACCTTTGACCAAGATGCCAAAATGAAAAAAATAATCAATGGGGTAGAGCAATTGTGATGTCTAAGGAATGTCATAGACAAACTGCTGTCACAAGTAATTTTGATGTTGCCAGTGTACAGTAGTTTTCAATAAAACGTGAGATAATTGAGAATTACCATTTTGATAGAATGTTGTCCTGGGATATACGCTAAATGTCAAGATCCCCCAAAAACCAAGTGAAAAAATATACAAAAATGTCTCTGTTTGCTTAACTATCAAGTGGTATGGGATAATAGTCACGTGTTCAGTGTAGCATTACACCAAACACATATGACAAATTCCTGAGATTTCCGTTGAAGCATGATAGTATTACAGGTAATATCACCACCTTATGAAAAATGAGCGAGTTGACACGGAACCTAATGTGTCAAAATATTAGCGAAACTGTATCAAATTTTATTCAAATCATTTCAGTAAGGGTGAATTTGTTCAGTCTCATATTTCTAAATACTTATCGAAGAATGAATCACCCGGTGAACTGAAAATCTCAAGAAATAATATATCATCCTTTACTGGCGGGTATTACTGTGATTAGATTTGCTTCAACCATATTATATTGTCAAAATCGTTAGCAGCAGGATTAGGAAGAAGTTATTACATGATTTAAGTCCTTTCCCAAACTAAATAGCATCTACAACATTTGGTAAACAAAGATGTCATGAAACTATAATTACATACAAACTAGAAGGTTACCTAGATTACCGAGAAAACAGATTAGATTTACTGTAATTTCAAATCCATTAAAAGATCTTATGAAATTGAAGTAACTCTAAATTCAAAAACATTTTCAAGATTAAAGAAAAGCAAACGTCTCTGCTGTTCATAAATGGGACAAAATTACACAACAATTACATCGATGACGTTTTATAAAAATATATTTTATTTTTTTATTTATTTTTTTTTTGTTACATTACATATAGAAGACGATACAAACAAACATTCTTCCACACACCCATGTATTTCTACTTGCACATTATTAAGGAGGAATCCTCCCTATATCATCATCAAAATCATCATCATCATCATCATCATCATCATCATCATCATCATCATCATCATCACTGACACCATCCTTATCCATCAACATAGCATCATCATCATCTATCATCATCATCTGTCATTATTTAAACCTCATTGCCATCAATCATCATCACATCATCATCAATGCTTGGTTTGAAATGGACAAGCCTGAATAAGTGTAGTTTGTAAATCATCACATGAAGAAGATGTACCAATTAATGACGTATCATCCGCAAATAGACAGAAAGCCGAGCGTAAAATATTCGCAATATCGTTTATATAGACAAGTAATAATAAGGGGGCTGAGATAGAACCCTATGGAACCCCAGCTTAAATAAAACCGTTATCAGAAAATGCATTTGAAATAAATACTTTTAGTCTTCTATTTGATAATTTTCTAAACACTCCAACAAGTCTAATGTTATACCAAAAGATACTGACTTAATTAACAATACCTTATGCCAAACACGATTATAAGCTTTAGATGCGCCACAAAACCCTAAACAGACATGTTTTTCTCTTCAAGAGCTTAAGAATATGTGATCAATTTCAATGAGCAGATAAACTATAAAGAGACCCGCCATAAATCCTAAGTGATCTTTGTAAAAAAGAGAATATTACTCTCTCGATAACTGTCTAAATTAGATAGTAATGATATGGTATATAATTTGTTGGAAAATGTCTGTCTCCTTTTATTTCCACGTGCCAGGAAAGATTTCAGAAGACAGTGAAAAATATAAAGTAACTGAAGAGGTTTTGAAACTGAGTGAGCAGTGTATCTAAACATTAAGTGGTTTATTCTGTCATGACCAGACGCCTTAACCGATCTTAAAAATTTTAGTATAACTTCTATTTCAGATGATGTTACCCTTAAAGAGTATAATTTTGTCTGGTCTATCTTAAAATATAAGAGTATTCGTTTTGCTGTCATCAACTTCTGTTACAGAACAAAATTAAGTATTCAAGTTATTGGCCATGTAGCCATCTTCTTTAACTATATTACTTAAACTTGGGTAAATGAGAGAAGGGATAGATTGAGAGTCATCTGTTGATTTCATAAGCCTTTTTAAGTAATTTCCAGTCTTGCTTTGGGTCAGAGGAAGAAACCCATTAACTAGATCAGGGACATTTTCACAAAATATTGAGAGACGTGTTTCTTTATATAATTAATTAGCTTTGTCGCGTTGATCTTTAAATTCATTTATTTCATGTTGAAGTAAGGATTTTCTATATCTCCTTTACAACCTGTCTCAAATTCTTATATTATGCGTTAATTTAGAAGTCATCCGGAGTTTGGATTTAATGATTACTCCTTTTTTAGGAATACAAACATTGGTAAAATCTAAATCAATTTCACCAAACTGTTTACATGCAATATCTTTCCCAATCGTATGTAAAAACCAACTCTATACAATGGTTAAAATCAGCATGTTCATATATCCGACATTTGTGTCTATTAATAGGAGTTGTGATAAAAAAGGAAGTCGGCGGACACAATGCTACAATTATGGCCACTCACTAATATATTATTAAAACTGAATAATCAAAATATATTTACAGAGTTTTTAGAAATTACTGCGACAAGAAAGCTCGCTCTGTTTATACCAATGATAACTGGTTCATTTATAACGTTATTAAGACCAAAATCAAGTATTTCACACAATTCATGTCGTGGGGTTCACGTGAACATATCAACATTTAAAATGGCTTAGGGTGGTTCACCATAATGATAGCCTATGTAAAATTCATGGACA